AGGCGTTTGATGCGCGGGCCCACGACTGGCTGGCTTTCATTGGACGCTTTCGCACCCCTGAGGCTTTTTTCATCGGCTGTCCCACTTCATTATTTTGAGTCGACTTACAAGCCTTTAGCGCGGGGGTCTGTCTAGCATCTCTTCGATTGCGCACTCGCTGTATCGCAAGACAAATGGACCTCTTTATGTTCTTTTATGTATTTCACACATGGTCAGCGTGTGTGTGTGTGAGTGTGTGTGCGCGTGCGCCTTCGCATAACCTAATACAAGTCATGGCGAACGCACGAGTGGACGACCCCTGTCCAAGACCCCTCGGCCTCAAGTCTCATGTCCAGAGTCCCGCCAGCCCAGCAGCCAGCCCGCCTAACGTAGTTAGCTGCCCCCTAATGACGGTGAAATGTCATTAATATGCCGCGCAGCTGGACCCAGTCACCAGTGGGGATGAAAGGTAATCGAATCTCCACGGACTAACCCAAAGCTGAACCTCCAAAACTGCTCGGCAGCACAGGACCGAGACAGACAGCAGTCTGGAGGCTTTGTTTTTTGTGTGTGTGTGTGTGTGTGTGTGTGTGTGTGTGTGTGTGTGTGTGTGTGCGTGTGTGTCTGCGGTCTCTTGATTCCTTTTGAAGTGTTTGTCTTAAGACCGCCATTACAAACCGCTCACACATGAACATAATTAAATCATCGGTTTGAAAGCAGCACATTCCATTAAGCTATCTGGGTGGTTGTCATTAATATGCCGCGCAGCTGGACCCAGTCACCAGTGGGGATGAAAGGTAATCGAATCTCCACGGACTAACCCAAAGCTGAACCTCCAAAACTGCTCGGCAGCACAGGACCGAGACAGACAGCAGTCTGGAGGCTTTGTTTTTTGTGTGTGTGTGTGTGTGTGTGTGTGTGTGTGTGTGTGTGTGTGTGTGTGCGTGTGTGTCTGCGGTCTCTTGATTCCTTTTGAAGTGTTTGACGCTCGCCAGACTTCCACGACGACGGAACGACTGCACGCGCCACTTCATCATCGGGATGCCTCGCGCATGTTTGTCCGTTTGCGCGGAGTTATGCCGTAATTGTTTTAGGAGGATGTGGCTGAGTGCAACCAACTCAGCCCCCCCACCATTTACTTTTTTTTTTTTTTTTTTGTAGAAAGATTCTTTGGTGTTGTACACAAAAGCTGATCACGCTACAACTTACAGATTTCGTAAGGATTTTACCATAAAGGGATAGAATAGCACAGTGGTAGTGGTTAGCATGTTTGCCTCACTTCTGCGTTCCTTAAACATGCGTGCGAGGTCCATTTGAAGACTCGAAATTCGGTCCCGGGTATATTCTGGCGTGAAAGTGGTTTGCAATTATAGTTTGGGCTATATTTGTGGCGTAAACTGGGATTACAACAAACATTTTTAGGCGTGGCGTCAATGAAGCACAGTTGACAGCCGGTCAACTCGACACTCTCATTCCCTGACACCCACATCACTCACCAGACGCTGATTTGACAGCCTTTTTCCAAACAAGCTATCAGTCTGCATCACGACACGTGCAGCTGATTCTGCAGCCTTTTGTTATTGTTTTGTTTTGTTTCGTGCGACTTGCAAACACAGTAACTCTGATACAGATCGCGCGCTTTCTGTTTCACCTCCTTGCCAACGAACAATAGCATCTTTTATCAGCTCATTCTTGTTTTTCATTTCGACACTATTTTCCGGGTTCCTGTAGCACCAAGTGAACCGGGGGGGGCGAGCGTTATCGTGTTCATCACGCCGCCGCTTTCTTGGCCGGCTGCACTCTTTTTCAAAGTGATGTTCAAGTCTGACTCCTAAGCGGTGACTTTTCGGCAAGAGCGACCTTTGTCGACGCGTGCGCATTTTGCAGCGTTTGTAGCATGTTGCAACGATCCGGACAGGCGCTTTCCGGGCTATGTGAGTCACTTCCTCCACTGTATGATTGTGTGCCTCGGACAATAATAGGCAGTGTTGATTGAGAGCCTGGGATGGTGTTGAATAATAGCTGGTGGAGGGCTGCAGACTGGGCCAGGAGCTTCTCCAGCCACAGGCCTGCCATTGTTTTGCTTCATGTCTCGGCCTGACGGGACTCCAGAAGCCAGCCATTGTATTTAATTACAGTTGCCAGCCCCCCCGTCCCTGCACAGACTCATGTCCTCGTGTCCCAGATTTCTGTGGATGCTCTCATTAAGACTTTCAGTGTGTGTATATGCGCGAGAGAAGTCCACCGATAAGAAAAATCCCATCGCATGTGTAGATGAAGATGTCATTTTGATGTGGGCGGGGGGGGGGGGGCACACACTGTATGTTTGTCTATGTTTCGAATCAAGGCAGTTTTGAATGTGGATGAATTAGCCCCGCGTTTGCTCTAATTACGCCGCGCTGTAATTAGTCCTCATCCAAAACTGTGAATGGTCGCTTGCTAATGAGAGAATATGCCACATTACGTAAGGTGCGCTCCATTTGGGGTTTAATTTGTGTGACACGGGTGTTGCGGCGGCATGGCCTGGCGCCATGACAGGCGCTGTGGGCCCCGGATGACACCCACGGAGGTGCAATGAAAGGCAAAGGACGGACACTTCCTGCCCGCGGTCTGCCTTTGTCCTTTTTATTTTAATTCCATTCTCCAAATTACCTCTGAATAATTTGGAAAAAATAATCTCAAAGATAATGCTCAAATAAAAGCAAATGAGTGAATATGTCAAACAATCAATGGATCTATTTCAGTCAAAATAGTTGACAATAAAGCGAACAAATCAATGGCTTCATCACTTTTTATCTTTCATAAAGCAGTGATATGTAAACATGTGGACTGCAATTCTTAATCTTATCTCGGCCCTATAGAAATTAACAAAAAATATATATACGTCTATCATAACACGAGATGTCAGTACATACAATACATGCAGTCATATTCAACGTTCTTCACAGAGGATAAAGAATATATACCCGTGAGCATTGCTGTATTGTCTGTCTACCTGTGTTGCATCACCTTTTGTGTTCAAATAGCCATGGCTTATGAAACACCACAAACACAGATGTGAATGTTTCGCTTGTCTGCTTGTTTATTTAGAGTCCTGATTGGGTATCAGCGTTGAGTGTTGCAAGAGTACCGTGGCCAAACCCCTTTGCTGTACATTCTCCCGACTGTAAAGATAACTTTGCAAAGGTGCTGAGTGGGCAACAAGAGTTTCCTCTTCTAGGAAAGCCTTAAACAGATCTGGGCATCAGGAGTGTTTATTTTGGTTGCGGCGAACATAATCTCTTGTCCGTGCACCATCTGCCGCACCGACACGGAAGTTGGCACGCTGAGCCGAGACATGCGCGCCGAGGCTCCACACAAGCGGCAGGAAGGCGGGCCGCGATCGCTGGCGTCGACCCGATCCGATGTAGTCACGCGACGTGTGTTGACTGCCGACAGGCTCGCCGCTGTGCCCAACCACCTCTGTTCAATACAGATGGCCGGTTTGCAAAGAAGCCGCGTGCCCCCCTCCCAAATCCTTCCTGGAGCCGACACACGTGCGTCATTTTTGCTTCGAACTGTTTCAAGCTGTTAATTGTAGCATACAATACATATCTTAACTATTTCAGTAAATTGGATAGATTCGTTCTTTTACACGTATTGTTTACATAATTATTTGATTCCAAAAACTTTGTTGACGAGAGCTTGCTTGGGTTGGACATTGGGAAAATCGTTTAACCTTTTAACCCTCCTTGACGGTCCGCTACTGCTACCTATGAATAAGAAGTCCATTAAAAAAAAAAAAAAGAAAGAAAAAGGAGAGTGATGTCATTCCAAGTAATCATAATGGCATGTGAATAAAAATGGAAGACAACATGGCCTAGTTCCATGCTCACACCGAGCTCAAGCGGGGGATTATGGCATTATTTGCTCGGCTGCAGAGCCGTGCCGTGAATGCGCGCTTTTCATATTTGACATCCGTGTCCTGCCACGCACACACGCAAACACTCGACACTCACGCAGGGATATCGAGGTCAAAGTCCAATACATATTACATGAAGAAAAAAACGGTGAAACATGAACGCTTTGTGGCTTGAATTGCTCGCTTCTAATTTTTCACACTGTACATTCGAAAAGCCCACCGCCGAACAAAAATGAAATTCAATGAAATGTAATCATTTCCCACGGCGCACCTGATGAGCTCTTACACCGGTTGGGGGATTACTGCTCTCTTCATTCTCCTCTTCGTTCCCATTCTAAATGGGGGTGCAGGGTGCTTTGCAATTTTTTTTTCCCTCTTTCTCCGTAATGTCGAGGAATGAGTTGCTAAGCATCCCTACTTAAAGGCTTGATTATATAAGGATAAATAAAAGAGCAACTGCGGGCCATGTATCAGAGGGAAGCACTTTCTTTGAACCCTGCCAGCGATGCAGTTCCTCGCATCAAGACATCACTTTGGCTCCGAGGGAAGAAAACCCTGCAGAGGGGGGTGGGGGGGGCTCGCTATTTCTTTGATGGTCCGCGCGCGCGGGTGTGTTTGTGTGCGCCGCATCTGAAAGCGCACCATCCAGCAATGTGCATGCGTGTTCAAGGTGTGCGCATCGGCCTCTCCGTGAATGTCACCGCTTATCGATTAAGCGCGCTTTGGCTCAGCCGCTCCCCTCAACCCCCCCGTCACGTTTTTTTTTTACTTATTTTTATTTTCCCCTCTCCGCAGCGATAGAGACGCAGAGTACCAGCTCGGAGGAGATAGTGCCAAGCCCGCCCTCGCCTCGTCACTGTCGGGTGTGGGTCATCAAGCCCGGTCGTGGGGGTGTGGGGGGGCTCGCTATTTCTTTGATGGTCCGCGCGCGCGGGTGTGTTTGTGTGCGCCGCATCTGAAAGCGCACCATCCAGCAATGTGCATGCGTGTTCAAGGTGTGCGCATCGGCCTCTCCGTGAATGTCACCGCTTATCGATTAAGCGCGCTTTGGCTCAGCCGCTCCCCTCAACCCCCCCGTCACGTTTTTTTTTTACTTATTTTTATTTTCCCCTCTCCGCAGCGATAGAGACGCAGAGTACCAGCTCGGAGGAGATAGTGCCAAGCCCGCCCTCGCCTCCCCCGCCGCCCCGCGTCTACAAGCCCTGCTTTGTGTGCCAGGACAAGTCCTCAGGGTACCACTATGGTGTCAGCGCCTGCGAAGGCTGCAAGGTGAGACTCCGGGGCCCTTTTCTCGGAATCTGCTAAGCCAGCAACATTATTTGTCGGTCTCATAACCATCATTTGAAGTCTTTGGGGGGTTGTGGGAGGGGCGTGGGGGGTGGTGGAGGGGTCTTCAAGTAGTTTTGGATCATTAGTATCCATACGGGGCAGACATGTAACACAAGAAAACTTTTATTTTTGCAATGAAAATGTGGTTTTTGTGCCGTCTCTCAAACACACGAAGACGCCACAATGTGGCACCAAAGCCTCGTCCGGATAGGAAAGTAGTACAGTGCTGACAAGGTGGCAATTTTTCCTGACGTGAAAAGTTACCTCGTGTCCTCGTCACAAGTGGATGCACGATCAAATGTCCCTGTCGACACCGTACATGGATGAACTTTGTAAAATTAGATAAAAATCCATATCTTATCGTCACATCCAGCGCATGCGCACGTTTGCGCGACACAATCGTGTTTGCTGGATCTTTTTTTTTTTTTTTTTTTTTTTGCTGACGTGCACATCAATGTTCTCAGGAGGCCTTGATGTGTTATCGCTTGAAAGCTTGCTGTACTCGTGCATGAAAGGTACCGTGCAAAAGTCTTAGGCCGGCACTAGTTTTAAGGTTTTAATGACCGGCTGTTTTGTTTTGTTTTGTTTTTTTTTTATGTTAGAATAACAGTGTTTCTCAAATGATCAGACCACCTGCCAAAAATATGAGGGGGTGGGGGGGGGGGGATAAATTGGCATGGGACAAGGAAGAAACAAAATAAGTTGTTGTGTCTTGGCAGAGGACTGTATTTTCACTCTGGTTCTCATCATTTGTGGTCATTGGAACAAAACGAAAGACCGCGGAGTACTGCGTGTTGTCCGGACTTATTGAAGTTCATATAAAGACAGACATGAGGGAAGCAGAATTGTGCATTCAGATTGAATGTAACTACCAGGTGCCTTGGTTTTGGGAACAATCTCGACGTAGGTCTATAAACCTACCCCAAAAAAACCCCCAAAAACCCAATAAAATAAAACTTGGAGCTTCGGTGGCGTGTGGACTTTCACAAAATGACACAAAGATGGCGCAGACTGCCGGGAAGGAGACGGCAGACGTTGGCGGGCAGACGCAGAGAAAGGGAGGGGGGAAAAAAAAAAACGGAAGTGGGGATGGTCTGAAGGGTTACAAATCAGTTTGTTGGGGTCGAGGGGCCATAGTTGAACCCGTTGACATCACCGAAACGATGGCCAGTGTGCCATATGTGAAGGGGCGGGGCACTGAAGAGCCCTTTCACATGAAAGCTCCCGACAATGAACCTCGACTCCCCCGGGCGCATCTTGCCTCCATCGCATAAGCGTTGCGCGACTTTGTCAAATTAGCAGCAAACTTTTCTTTTTTTTTTTTTTAATGAAAGCAAAAAGGAAATATTTGGAGCGCTGGGCGCTCACAGCAGCGTGACGCTCGCTCGCAGTTCTCAGTGCGATAAACAAAAAGCGAGCGGGGGCCAGGCGATAGATTTGAGTCATTAGCCATTCCCCCGCCTGTGATCAAAGTGTTTCTCATTCCGAAATCAGTCTCAAAACCGACGCAGTAATTAGTTTTTTGTTTTTTTTTTAAGGCCTAGGAGACTTGTCTGTTTCTTTCGTTTCTCTGCATCACAGATATTTGAAAGTGAGTTGAAAAGAATAACTGGTAGGTTTCGCTGTCGCCCGTCAACATCTCAGCGCAGCTCGAAACGTGGCCCTCTCCGTCGAGGCTATTCATATCTATTGGACCGCTTATATTTAGTTCCCGTGTTGATGTATCTGGAAAGGTCAAGCGTCTCAGGCTTTACCCCAAACCATTTCAGAGCCGATAGGACATTGGTGGAAAAAGTGGCACAGCGTGAATCATCAGCTAAACGTGTGCTTTCCCCAATACGGAGCTAAAAATAGCTTACTTCAACCCCCCCTGCCAAATTGTACAACCCGGGTCGGTTATTGCACCTATTGGCGTTCGAAATAAGAAATCCACCTTTGCTAAACTTAAAGACTAGTTGTCTTAAATAAATAGTCTTTTAGCTCCGCTAGCGCCCCCTGTTTGCGAAGCGCCCGCCCGCAAGCGTGCGCATCCGCAGTGCCTCATTTGAAAAATTCAGGATGCCTCCTCCGTATCTCTGACTACAGAGGAGATGACTTGGCAAAGCGCGCTCAATAATTCAACGCAAAACGCGCCAACGTATATGCTTGTCTCATTTGAGACTGGGGTAAGTTGAGGGTTAGCCGCGTTGACTTTGCTGCAGCATGCCAAACTACAAAGGCATTTCCTGGGGGCTGCAGCGAACACGGGAGATGGATGCTGATGGAGGAGGGAGGGGGATGGGGGGGTGCTGAGCTCTCTTACTCGGAGACAGCTGGCTCGTTTGTTGTTTAACTCCCACTGCCGGCGCACACACTCACCGGCATTGCGCTTCTCATCCCCTTTAGATATTAAGACTTGAACATGAAATATGCATGCTTACACCCTCCTAGTTATGGTTTCGTCTTGGGGGCATAGCGGCGTGCGGCAGGCAAACTCGCTTCCCCGTGTCCGCAAATCTGCCGTTTCCACAAGCGCTGGGCGTGAGACGATGATTTATTGGTTAGATTTGTTTGTAATTCGGATGGAACTCGAGCTATTTTATGTTCATAAAAGTTGGAGCTTCATAACAATTATACAACCAGCAGAGGGAGCGATTTAAAATCGCATCAGAACTCGGGTTTAGCCTGGGTTGGTAGTGGAAATGCTTATGTATTTGCTTTGCTACGCGTACATTTCCTGCGCATTTTTTTCAAAATCAAAGCTTCGATAATATTTTGTACTCCGTAGTTGCCACAGGGCTTGGTTTCGCTCTTGTTCAAACAAGGCAGCAAGTTAATTAGCAGGAAAGATACCGTAATTGGATTATTTTTTCTTTTCTGTCACTCTCGTCTCATTCGGAATTTTCTGCATCATAAATCAAGTCAATGACTTCTATCTCGGGCGTTTCAATTCTCCAGCCGTTGCTTCTCGCCCGGCTTCTTGGCTTTCAAACCCGCCGTCCATTTTTAGCATACTTAAAATATGAGTTCTTGCCATGGCTGCGTCGTCATAAAAGAGAGAGCTCCGTTTGACACGCTCGTGCTGAAAAAAACGCACACGTGAGAACGCGGGAGGTGGCTGGGAAGCACTCTTAATCTGGCAACAATGCGAAAGTCACGTAAGAGAGGATTCCTTTGCTTCGCCCGTGAACTCGCCAACCCCTTCCTCCGCCGCCACTTCCGCTCTCACGCACGCTCGCCACGTGGAGCACAAGCGTGCAAAGGCTCCTAGGCGCGCATCAGGTACCGAGGGCGTGAAAGACGCAGTCGCGTTTGAATCGTTGGCAAGCCCCGCCTCCCTTGCCGTCCCTTCCCTTGCGGCGCTCATCTCTCAAACCCGCAGGGTGGCTGACAGGCCCGATGAGGGCTCTTGTCGCCGGGTGGATTAAGCGGGGATACAAAAAGAGGCTTATGGGCCGCAGGAAGCAATGACTCCTGAAAGAAAAGGAGGGGGAGGGGGCGGGAACAATTAACTGGCTCACGAGCGGTGGGGAGGGGGCGGGGGCTGGTGCTGTCAGAGGGCACCTGAGCCTGGTGTTGTTGGGAGGGACTAGGTCAATCCCCTGGTGACAACAAGGTCAGGGTCGGGGCACCGTTGGATCAAATGGGACATGATACACGCACACAAACCCCACGCGTCCCTCGGCGTGTGCTCGTTCAAAGGCAAGTTACCCCATCTAGTGGACTGACCTGCTTTTGTGTTTGTTTTTCACCCGTTTGGGAAGAGCAGGTTGCAAAGCAGATGTAAGACCTCGATGAAAGACGACCGGAAGGTTAGTCAGGTGACCCGAGGAGGATTGAAACAGCTCCTCGGCCAGCTGGGAGCACACGACGGTGTAAACGGCTTTGTGCCGCGATACCTCGTTTGCCGTGTGCATTTTTAGAAGTCGTGTGCAGGCCGCGTGTTTTGGAGCCGGGCTTTCAGTGGGAGAGTTCAACCACCTCTTCATACCACTCCTCTATGGCCGCAATTATAGAAGCCATCGTGATGACGTTTTCATTGTTTCATTTCAAATCCACTGTGTTGTTGTTCTAGAGCTGGAATGCTGAAAATTGTGTCTATGTCTGAATATTTTTGGACCTGACTATACAGGCCTCAGTAAGGCACAGTAACGGTAGTCGTTCTACGCCGCGGATGAAGAATATATGCCGGCGAGTCTTGAGAGTTCAAATACTCCATTGGAACTGCAATTCTGATGTCTCCCCCCCCCACCAAAAAAAAATTAAAAAGCAAAATTGCACTCCACATGAATCGCTCCGCTGGGATTCAAGCGATGGCCATCGCTTGAAAGCAATTTGCTGGTTTAGGCCCAGCGACCATCTGTTGGCAAGCGACGCTAATCCCGCAGCGTGATTGGGGGGGGGGGGCTGCCCCAGTTGGCCCCACCCACCCGTCGCCCCTTCAAATACTAGCGTCCCACTGCGTCTGATCAATAGCGACATTGACCTGTTTTGCATGTGTGCAAGCGGCGTGTTTGCATCCGTACTGAGGGCGCGCTCGGTTGTAGCTGATCTGCATTAACCTCTTTTTATCTTTTTGACACCGCAATAATGCAGCCACTGAGGTGAACATTGATTTTATTGGGGCTTGTGGGGCCGATGCGCGGCTTACAACCCACGCGGTGTGCTGAAGGGCTCACTTACAAAATGACAACATCTCGGCTGTCATCTATTTTTTTTTTTTTTAATTTAGAACCAGGCTGGTTGATCTCATTGCAATGTGGCGTCTGTCTCAAAGGAACGGGTCGAATTGTTTGATGAATCAACTGCACTTGTTTATATCCTGTCCGCCTCTTAAGGGGAAATACAGGAAATGGAACTTCTTTTTTTTTTCCCCCTCTGTCCATACACTCGCAATGTTGACGCGACCTTGAAGCCTTTGGAATATTTTACATGACGTCATTACATGAAACAAGCACATTAGGTTTGCATCAGTGTACTTTTCAGACATGATTGTGATGTTAAAACAAACAACTATCTAAGTCTAACATTAAATAAGTAACGTCAACCCACAAGTGGATCAAATGGGCTCTTCTTCCTTCCGGCTAGTTGCGGCACAAAGCTACTTGAACACACACGGGGCAGCAACACATACAGACAGCATGCAACCAAAGTAAAATAAACATGATCTGTTTTCACGTCAAAATGTTACCCTGAACGAAATAATTTCATTTCACAAATTAACAAGGGAGCGTTCATAAGGTTCATAAGTAGGATCACAAATCGGCAAGGTGTGAAGGATGAGTGGCCACAAAGTGGGGGGCGAGCACTGTATTGGTATGTCATGTGCTTTTAATAAGATCACGACTGACATGTTTACCTCTCATTAGCATTTAAGATCTTCAATGCTCGCAGTTTCCACATTGATAACCGTGACAAAGCCTTTGCCGAGCAACGTCACGGTGACATGTCTTTGTCAACGTCTGCGCCAGGGATTAAACCTTTTGAAGACGTTTTGACAGTTCGTCGCCTTTTCACAGCAGCTGCCATATCCGCTCCGCGTGGCCTATTTACTGGAATATTTATAAAACATCATCAAGGACTTTTTTTTGGGGGGAGGGGGGTCGGATCGTGAAGGCAAAACAATAGCATGATGAGGGAATTGTCATCAGATGTCCTTAATCCTTTTTCTTTCTTCTCTTTGCCACACCAGGGCTTCTTCCGGAGAAGCATCCAGAAGAACATGGTGTACACTTGTCATCGTGAGAAGAACTGCATCATCAACAAAGTCACTCGAAATCGCTGCCAGTACTGTCGGCTTCAGAAGTGCCTGGAAGTGGGAATGTCCAAGGAGTGTGAGTACACCAAGCGCCCGAGCCGCGATGCCCCGTTGACACATCTGGCTTGCAGGGGGGGGAGACGTATTATTTCAGAGTCCATCTCAGATGGGTTTGCGTTCATTCGTTGACACCCACGTCACTCACCAGGCCAGGCCTCACCTTTTAAATCCACACAATGACAAACATGAGGATGGTGTCTCCGAGTGGACAAAAATAAGTCGCTAACTTCTGCTAGCCCATTCGTCGCTAGCCGTAAAAGATTCAGACCAGTGACAACGGGACCGGAGCGCAAGGGCAGTGATGCAAAGTGACGCCTCGTTATGAGATTATTGCGTTATCGTGCATTTTAGGTTCACCCTGAAATTTCACCAGGAAGTCGAATGACCCTAACCTCTTTTTGTGAGCGCTGTGTATAGCGCGATATAAAATCCCCATCATGCTCCCGTTGGAGCGAACGCGTCTGGCTTCGTCGCTAGCCGTAAAAGATTCAGACCAGTGACAAAGGGACCAGAGAATATTCATTGCGAACGTGATGCAGTCTGGCAGTAACAGTCAGGGTGACGCCAGGCTTGGCAGGCCCGTGATGAATATGTTTTCACCTGCCGAGAGCGGATGAGCAGGCGTGCACACCCCCCGGGGATTGTGTGACAACGCGCGCACACACACACTCTTTCTCCCTGACATACATACGCAGCAAGACCTGATAAAATACACACACACACACACACACACACTCTTTCTCCCTGACATACATACACAGCAAGACCTGATAAAACAATTGCCACAAGTGTGACCAACAGAGAGCGCTGCAGGCTTTGTACCGGCGCCCGACGACATTTTATACATGACCCCGATGTGTATCCGCTGCCCATTTGTACTTCAATCAGCATACGCGGTCAGAAAGTGTCACTTGCCGCTTTCCCTTCCGCTATTTAGCTCGTTTTCCCGCCACCGCTGGGGCAAGGGCACTCCCCATGCCACAGCTCTGTGGCTTACAGTAAAAGAAGTTATCCTCTGAGCTACTTACCTTGAATGGGGCCATTAATCATGGTTAGAGGGATCTCAGCAGCCGGCTCCCGGGCGCATGCTTTCCAATGGAGTCAGAGAGCCATCTAGTGGTGGAAGGCTGTCATTACTTTGAACGGCTCAAATTGATTTTTGAACGGAAGCAAGATTGCTTGCTCGATTTCAGCCACGCTCCACTTACTCGGCCTTTTGTGTTTGGCACTTTTTCTTTTTGACTGTGGTCATTTAGTGCAGATTGTGCAGATTGCTTGCCGTGTCTCCTCAGTGGTGACTTTGGCGGTTGAATCAGGGGTGGTGAGGAAGGAGAGGCATACCATCTGGGCCCAGTAGGGAGTCTCCCTCTCTCCCTTTTTTCCCTGGCTCTTCCCGTCATGCACACATGGAAACATTAACACACTTCACGTACACGCGCGCAAATAAAAGGTGTCTATGAATAAAGATATACCTTCAAACGGCTTTAAAAGCGGCACCGGCGCACAGAAGGTGAACCTCCTGCGAGAGCCAGGGGACGTCTGGGTGACCTTGTGTCCGCTGGCAGACAGCTCCAGACGACAGCGCCAGGCCTGCAGCCAGGTGGCCGTGCCAAAGAGGACAGCGTCAGGGACAGGCTTGGAGGAGGGGATGCGGAATGATCTTAGCGCTGTCACTCCATCGGCGCCGCCTTGTAGTCTTATACAGTGACGTTGACTCGGTAAAACCTTGCTGCATCGCGCATTTTGTGATCCTAAGCTGCTTTTACATCATAACATAACATTGCCCTTAAAGGGGAGGCCAGTCCCAAAATATTCTTCTAAAGAATCTGTTTTATGCGCCTTCGCCAGTCTGAACACGGCATTCCGATTAATATTTGTGGAATATGAGTTAAGCAGCAAAATCCTGCCGTTTTTTGCTAGCTCAAAGGGACGGCCATTTTGATACTTTCTGCCGACTGAAAATGACATAGCGGGTGCTCAGGTAATTTTCCTTACGTGCTTTTAACTCCCACCACTGCCAATAGCGATGTGGGCCTTTCTTTGCATCACCGTGAGAAGTTTACCACCTGACTTTCTCCGCAGTCAAGCACACAAAGCGCCTGGTCCACCTCTGCCACACTTACCGTCTTTCGTCATTGACTTTAAAATGGACATGTGATGGCGCTTTGCAGCAAAGCGAAAGCAGCGCGAGGAAAGCCTGCCGTATGCAGCGCAAGTGCGAAGGAAACCTGGCGAGGGGGAGCTTTGGAGGATAAAGAGAGAAAAAGTTTCATCAACGTCTGTGTAGGCTCTGCACCGAAGGAACATTGACATTTTTATCTTTTCATTGAATTTAATCTGTGTGATGGACGAGCTGCCAGCGCTTTAATTTTCCCCTCACTCGAATTATCCCCGTCTGCCCAGCTCTCACTGTCACACGCGCGCTAACAGGAATTGTCTATCAAATGAAGGCTCGGGCGGGATTCCGCATCGCCAACAAATGATTGAATGATAGCCGCCTGCCCGTGCGTGTTTCTATCCACAGCCGCTACTGTAAATCATTTCCACACAACAAACGTAAAGCCACAAAGAAATTCGGAATGTATAATAGATATCTATTAGCGTTGTTAATTTCATATGACATTGTCTGAGATGCATTGCTCACACACACAAAAAAACAATAGGAAGCAAACGGCCATATTTCTTTCATTTCCGCCCCCCTCCTCAAGTTATTGCATGCGGCAATTCAGCGTGACAGATCGCCAGTCGCCCCTAATAGTTCTTTAATGACTTCATTAAATTGCGTGGCGCGGCTTATGATCGCGCTGCCAATTTGTCAGCGCGGGGTAATGTCCGCGCGCACAAAGGGATGCCCCACTTTAATTTGGGAATTAATTGGACATTGAGAGTGTTGCAGATCGGCAGTCAATGCAAACGGGCTTTTGACCCAAATATGGTGAGCGCTTTACTCCACTTTTATGTAACTGTCCTCCGAAACTGACTTGGCACCGGGATGGGGGGGGTGATGTTTAAAGGCGACATTAGAAGAAAATACTTTCTACTGCATAGCTTTTAACTCATTCAATGCCAGCCAATTAGAAAAAAACAGCGAGAGAACCAATTGAGTGCCAGCCAATTTATTCTGACTGATCTTTTAAGGCTCACAGGAAATTGTAAGCAAAATGTAAACACACCAAATGAAAGATTAGACTCTTTCATCACACCCCAAAAAAAAAAAAAGTTTGTTTCTCCCTTCTTCATTTTTTTTTTCGTCATTGGCAATAGAACATGGGTTGGTTTCATCCAAATCCCCTACTTTGGATGAAAAAACAAGCTTTTTGCCAAAAGATATATTTTATATACAACAGTGACTCTCATGCTCATCATTTTTGCTTCTTTTCTTTCGTAAAATACCAACAATGAAAATGTGTTTTTGGTGGCAAAATAATGGATTTATAAATTTTCACCAGTGTAACAATTTGACATCTGCCAAACTATTTGCACACTATTATTTAGTAGTAGAATTTAGTAGTGTGAGTGCGCATCCTCCATGCATATTTGTGTGTGTGTGTGTGTGTGTGTGTGTGCATCTTCATGATGAAACCAGAGCTGGCCAAGACTTTTTCTCCGCCCATTCCCCCATCCCAAGAAACGTAGTTTACGACAATTGCTGGCACCCCCTCATTAGGATTGCCGTTGCAGCGGGGAATCCTAACGAGATCCCCGCTGAAATAACATATAGGGAAGTACCAAATGCACCGCCCGCACAGTGCATCATCCGAGTTCTACCTGCCTTCACGTTCCCCCCGGCAGGGAGGCCTGTCCGCCGGCTGATGAATGAGCCGCGACGCCGAGCAGCGCTTCCCTCCATGGCCCTCGGGCGAGGCCCTCCTGTCACCATCGTCGAGCTCCCATCAGCCCGAACGTTGTGGCCCTTAATGGTCAAGGTTCGGATTAAAACCAGAAAATCTGATCCAAGGTCACCAGGAGGGGCGTTGGGGGACTTTCCTTTTCCTCGAGGGCGGAAGCGATGAACCTGAAAAAGATTAGCGATGATGATTTCAAGCGCAAAGAAATCCGTTTTGAGGGGAATGTAACTCTTGTCATGGACGCCGGCCTGCCACATTAAGAGGGAGTGCGTTGCTCAACGCGGGGAGAGAGAGCGCTGGGAGGCTTTCGCCGCTCTCGCCTCCACAACCGCACCCTTTGAAAACCATTAGAGGCAGGAGATTTGTCATATTATGTTATTAGATTAGCCGGCGCTCGCTAATGAAAGCTGTGGTGATTTGTCAGCCTTATGGATAGCTCCATCCCCCACCGCTATTTATCAAGCGGCACCCCGTCTCACCCAAACCACCCACGCACACGCAAAACCTCACCTCGGGTCTGGACGGCTCGGGGAGGGGGGTGGGAAATGGATGGAAGGGTGTAATGTAATGGGATTCCGATGCTAAACACCCTGTCTCATGCTTTTGGTCATTTGGGGGGCGGGGAGGGGGGGGGTGATGCGTTCTGCCTGTTTGCCTCGAGGGGAACTCTTGGGAATTATCGCGAGTTTGCTTGTCTTCGCCCTCACATGCATCTCGATGAGAAATAGCAGCCAGCGTCAGATTAGGACACGCTGGGTTTTTTTTTTTCTCTATTCTGCTTGGCTCTTCACACTGTATTACACTATAGGAAGACTATTTTGCAGCGCATAAGGATCGTATATATGCTATATGTGCTAGTTCACGTTTTTCCAAGTACGTTACTGGCATATGTATTCCAATAGGCCATAGGAATTAGCGATTGTCTATTTTAAAAGGGAAAACAAGTTAGAATGCTCTGATCAATTTTTCAAAATTGTTGTGTGAAAATAGTTTTGCGCCCCCCCCAAAAGAAAAAAAGTTATTTTGTTGCAATGAAAACTCAAAAGCTGTTTTTCCATGACCTCCCTATTATTATGATGACAATTGTCAAAATCGAACAAAGTGACTTTCACTTCAATCCAACAACATTCTCGACAACACACTTTTTGACTTTCTTCCTGTAATACTTTTTTCTCGAGGTCTAATGCTGGAATGTGAGATTCATGCCATTTTTATTCAATTGAATCTTTCGTTCTTCTCCAACCGCTGTCTTGTCTACTCACGGGTCAACATTTTTTTCTTGACAGAGGTTACAACCACTCAATCGAAAAACAAACGTCAACGCCGAAAGCCAAACTCCTATTTTCTCTCCTCTCTGTAGCTGTTAGAAACGACCGGAACAAGAAGAAGAAGGACGAAAAGAAGCAGGAATGCACGGAGAGCTACGTGCTGAGTCCCGACACGGAGCAGATGATCGACAGGGTCCGCAAGGCCCACAAGGAAACGTTCCCCTCCCTCTGCCAGCTCGGCAAATACACTACGGTCAGTCAGGAGACGCCGGCGACGTCGTCGCAAAACGCGACCGCGTGTCGTTTAAACCGCCGTCGTCTTTCGTGTGTGGACAGAACAACAGTTCGGAGCGCCGCGTGTCCTTGGACGTGGACCTCTGGGACAAGTTCAGCGAGCTGTCCACCAAATGCATCATCAAGACGGTGGAATTCGCCAAGCAGCTCCCCGGCTTCACGACGCTCACCATCGCCGACCAGATCACCCTGCTCAAAGCCGCCTGTCTGGACATCCTGGTGAGGACGAGCGAGCGGTCGCAGACGCGGCCTAAGCGAGCGGGATGAAAGCCCCCCCGCGGCTGTCTGACGAGCGCACGTTTCAAATATTCATGATCCTCAATGTCAGGCTGTCCTACTTTGAAGCCGAGATGCGAGCCGCATTCAAAGCCCGCGCTTGTTTTTACGTTGATTCGCAAAGCTTTATTGGCACGTCTCTGGGGTTCTCAAACTTTAAGGCTTACGATGGAGATTTTTCCAAGTGCCCCCCCCCCACCATAATCCTCACGTCAATTAACGGCCCGCCAGCCATTTCTAGAGCCGAGTTCCCCATGTGGACGGCCATTTTTGTTTGACAATCTAAGCACCCAACCTAGCAAAAAAAAAAAAAAAAAGTTGGTTGGTTTCACATGTTTGTCTCATTGGTATGTCGTTTCCTTGACTGACATGCCCCCCCCCCCCACTGCGTGTACAGATACTGCGGATCTGCACACGCTACACCCCAGAGCAAGACACCATGACCTTCTCAGACGGACTCACGCTAAACCGAACCCAGATGCACAACGCCGGCTTCGGACCGCTCACCGACCTGGTCTTTGCCTTCGCCAACCAGCTGATCCCTCTGGAGATGGACGACGCTGAGACGGGGCTGCTCAGCGCCATCTGTCTGCTGTGTGGAGGTACGCGACATTCACCCAAAAAACAAAAAAACGTCTTTGAAGGCTTCTCATGGCAGAAGTGACCAATTTGTTGTCTTTTTATTTTTGCCCGCCCCCCCCCCCCTCCGGAATAGATCGTCAGGATCTGGAACAAGCAGAGAAGGTGGACGTTTTGCAGGAGCCTCTTCTGGAGGCACTGAAGATCTACGTGAGGAAGAGGAGGCCCCACAAACCGCACATGTTCCCCAAGATGCTGATGAAGATCACCGATTTGAGAAGCATTAGCGCCAAAGGTGCTTTTCTTTTCTTTTCTTTTCGTGCGTTTGAATGAGATTGTCACAGTCTCAAGAAGAAGACTTTTTTGTTTTAAATGACCGTTTTATGCTCACGGTATTTTTATTTTTATTTTTTGCAATAGGGGCTGAGCGCGTCATCACGCTGAAAATGGAGATCCCGGGCTCCATGCCTCCCCTCATCCAGGAGATGCTGGAGAACTCCGAAGGTCTGGAGAGCGGCGCCGCGGGAGGCCGTCCCTGCGGCACCCCGCCGGGCAGCTGTAGCCCCAGTTTGTCCCCCAAATCCCCTCCAAAAGCAGTCCAGCCACGCATTCGCCGTAGTAACGGCCCACCTTGGGTTGTGTCTGTTTGTTTGTTTTCACGCACGCCGGTCAGTCAGAGGAGGGGCGAAGGAGGAGGCCTTGACTGCTGACGGATGGAGACCTTCCTCCCCTTGGTCCGCTTTTCCTCACGCGAGGGGAGGCACGGCCGGCCGGGGCACGCCGCGCCGCCGCCCAGAGACCACACCGTAAACACTGCTGATGACTCCGCCCCTCCTCCTTCTCCTCCTCCTCCTCCTCGTCTTCTTCCTCACTCCACTGCCGCGCTGCTCTCCACTTCTCTCCAGAAGGCTGTTGGAATGTCGCATGAATGCAGTGTGCAGCACAGGAAGCGAGAGTGGCCAGGTTGGGAAGTGACAGGCTTCTGGACAGATTTGACAAACACCAGACACTTTTTTTTTTCCTTTCTTTTCGTTGTTGTTGATGTTGTTGCTGTTGATGATGATGCAGACTACAAGCTCGGGGCTTGTCAAAAGACCCTCCTCCTCTTCCGCCTCCTCTTACTTCCTCCTCAGAGACTCTGGGTCTTTTCTCTTTTCCCAGCTTCGAAAAGAAAAAGAAAAAAAAAACAAAAAAACAAACGGATTTCGTACACAAAGATATATATAAATATATAGAAAAGTTAAGGAACTATTGTGATTGAATGGGAGGCCGTAACGAGGACGTGTTTTCTGAGATTAGATTGTCGTACTCCCTCACTGTTTTACCCATCATGAGAGGAAAAGAGCAAGTTTGATCACACGTGTACATTATTCGAATTAACAAAAAAAAAAAAGATCATGACTTTTCCTTCCAG